AAACATTGTTGAAAACCATGGGGTTTTTTTTGAGACAGGGTCTTGCTATGCAGTTCAGACTGGCCTTGAAGTCACTATGTGATCTACAGATTCAATGTAATCCCTATTAAAATTCCAATAGCTTTTTGGGTAGAAATTGATAAGCTGATCATAAAAATTTATAAGGAAATGCAAGAGGCCCAGAATAGTCCAATCTTGCAAAAGAACAATGTTGAAAGACTCCTATGTCCCAGTTTCAAAACTTACTACAAATCTCAAATAATTAAGATGGTGTAATACTGGTACAGTATAGACATATGGATCAACTAAATAGAATTGAGAGTCTTGAAACAAACCCATATGTCTGTGGTCAAATGACTTTTAAAAGGAGACCAAGATCATTAAATGGGCAGAATAGTTATTTCAACAAGTGCTGTTGAGACAACTGGATGTCCATGTACAAAAGAATGAGGTTGGATCCCTACCTAACATCATATATAAAAATTAACTCAAAGTGGACCATATACCTCAACAAACATAAGAACTCAAACTATAAGGCTCTTAGGGGAAAAAGTAGTTATAAATCTATGAGCTTGGATTATGCAGCAGTTTCTTAGATATGACAAAAGCACAATTAACCAAAGGAGAAAAAATGGCTAAACTGGACTTGTGAAAATTAAAATCTTGTGCTTCAGAGGACTATTGAGAAAATAAGAGGACAGCTCACAGAAACATAAAAATATTTGCAAATGATGTACCTAATAAGGGTCTAGTGTCCAGAATCTGCAAAGAACTTTTGTAACTCAGGGCTAAAAAGACAACCTATTAAAAGTGGGCAGTGGCCAGGGATTTAGCTCAGTGGTTCCGGCGCCTGCCTCGAAAGCACAAGGTTCAGAGTTCCATCCCTGGTACCAAAAAAAAGTGGGCAAAAAGCCATGTGTGGTGGCACATGCCTGTGAGCCCAGCATGCTGGGAGACTACAGCAGGAGGATGACAAGCTTGAGCCGAACCTGGGCAATTTAATGACTGAGTGAGACCCCCATCTCAAAGTAAGAAACAGCCTAGGGATGTAGTTCAGTGTGAAGGCCTTGGGTTCAATACTCAGTACTACCAAAAAAAAAAAAAAGGCAAAAGATCTTATTAATATTTCCACAAAGAAAATATGCAAATGACAAAATCATGTAAAGATATGCATCCTCATTATTGATTAGGCAAATGTAAATCTAAATGAAAATGAGATGCCACTGCACACACATTAGGGCTGCTGTATTCTGCTGTATTCCAAAAAATGTAATATAACAAGTGAAAGTATCTTAGATATTTTCTTGTTCCTGAGACACAATATCTGACACCCACAAATTAAAGGAGGAAAAGTTCATTTTGGCTCAGTTTGTAGGGGTTTCAAGGCAGGGAAGCATGGCAGAGGGGCATGGCAGCAGGAAGGAGAGAGAGATCAAGGGAAAAAGGAGGGAGAGTCTTCCAGGCCACACCCCCAGTGACCCACCTCCCTCCAATGAGGCTTCACCTCCCAAATCACATTTAGCTACAAGCTCATCAGTGGATTAGTATCACACCCCCCTGATCTAGTCATCTCTCAAAATCCCCATCTGTGAGTGCCTGAGGGTTCAAGGGAGCATCTAAATACAAACCATAACAGTTGGTGAGGATGTGGAGGATATGAGATCCTCCTAAATTACCAGTGGGAATGCAAAATGGTGCACCCATTCTGAGCCATTCCTCAGAAAACTAAACAGTTATCATGGGTCCAAGCAGGTCTACTCCTAGGAGTATACCAAAGAAAATTGAAAACATTCTCAAACAAAAACATACACAATATTTTTAGCAGCATTTTTCAAAATGGGCAAAAAGTGGCAGCAATCCAAATGACTATTGACTAGATCAGTGGTGGCGAATCTATGGCATGTGTGCTACAGTGGGCTGTTTGTATCACTGAAAGTTCTAAAAGGTTTGCCATCCCTGGACTAAATGAAGGTTAACCAAATATGGTATTATATATCTACACAATGGGATATTATTCAGCCACAAAAAGGTATGGCATACCGATACATGCTACAACAGAGTGGAACTTTGAATACTTGTTACATGAAAGAAGCCAGACACAAAAGCCACATTATATGATTGCACTTATATTAAATGTGTAGAATAGGCAACTCTATGGAGACAGAAAATGGATTAATGGTTGCCAAGTACTGGGAGAGAGGGAATAGGGATTGACTGCAAGTAAGAAACAATAACAAAACATTTTGAGCAAGGTTTGGCCTGCAGGCTGTAGTCTGCCAACCTCTGACATAGACACTGAGTTCAGTTATGTAATAGTACATTTACCTGTGTCTGAACTGGAAAGACCTAAAAGGTTGTACCAGGAGAATCCCTTTGCTGTTCCTTCCACAGGCGAAGACAAAGTAAAAAAAAATTAATGTAGTTCTGGGGATTGAACCCAAGGCCTTTGCACTGAGCTATATCCCCAGTTCTTATTTAAGTTTTATTATTATTATTATTAAATTTTGAGACAAAATCTCTCTAAATTGCCCAGATTGGGCTCAAACTTGTAATTCTCCCGTCTCAGCCTCCCAGAGCACTGGCATTACTGGCAGGCATCTCCATGCTCAGAAGAAGTTACTTTGGGAAATGGGAAAACAGACCCACCAGAGGGCTTGGGAGGATGGCTTGACAGTGCCAAGTGCCACTTGGGACTTGGTGTTGTGACATTTAAGGGGAGAGTAGTTGGGGTGATTCATCTTCCGTTGTTCTGGTGTAAGGGTTTACAGGAGAGGCTCGAGCAGGATAGCGCTGACGGAGCACTCAGTAGCGACCAGGTTCTGGGTCACTGTGTCCAGGGTTCCTAGAGAAACCAAAAGGTTTAAGGTAGGTAGACAGGTGAGTGACAGGATCACAGAAGGTTGGGGGGCTGTAAGCTGAGATGTTGGAAGGGGAGTTTCTGGTGATGGTGAGAGAGGTGGACCAGATAAAGTAGAGGCAAGAACAGCGGAACTGAAGAGGTCACCGAACAATCAGGAGTGTCTAAAGACTCTTCCATATTGTTGATGTTCATAAGGAGGTGACAGAAGGGGGGGAAAAGGGGAGACAGTGATCAGGAACTGGTAACAAGGGGATGGTAGAAGTGGCAGTAAGAAGGAGTAGTGTGATGAGAGGTCTTCAAAGAAGTGGCTTTTTTGTTGTATTTTGGTGGTACTGGGGATTGAATCTGGGGCCTTCACACTCAGCTAATTCCCAGGCCTTTTTTATTTTTTATTATGAGACAGAGTCTTGCTAAATCACTAAGTTGTCCACACTGAGCCTGAACCTGAGATCCACCTGCCTCAGTCTCCCAGAGTGACAGGATTACAGGCATGCACCACCATGCCCAGCTAAGAAGTAGGGTTTTAAAGAGATCAGGGGTGTAGCTCAAGGTGCTGTGCCTGCCTGGCAAGAACAAGGTCCTGAGTTTGATGCCCAGTGCAAAAAAAAAAAAAAAAAATTTAGAGAGCTGAGATAAAAAGGATCTAGAACAGTAGTGGTGAACCTATGGTGTTACTTATTTTTCTTTTAAGACAAAAGATGTTAATGTATGAGTTGTTTTTTTCTAAACTAAAACCCCAGTATTCAGGTATAGGGAACAGGGAAAGGGGACGTTACCAGAACCTGTGCAGTGAGTCGTGGTCTCCTGCGAGCCACGGCAGCACACGGCGAATTACAGGAAAGGTAGAAAAATGAGACTGAGAAGAAGCTGAGCTTTGGGTCTGATCAGTGCTTGCTCTGGGCAGCAAAGACAAAAACCTTCTAGTTTGTAGCACCTTTTATTCAGTACATAGGGAAACAAATGTAACAAGTGAAATATAGAGTTCAGTACTTCACATTGGGATAAACAAGGTGTAACAAAAGGCTGGGGGGCAGTGGAAATCTAAGAACAACAAGGAACTATGCAGATGAAGATTTGGTTCCTCCCTGGCTTCTCCCACAGGTGTGGTCTTGTCCTGGAGATTGCAGCATCAGGGGATCACTGAGGTCTCAGTTGTGACCAGAGGCCAAAATGCAGTTATGTCTGGAATGTCCTAGCTGGGCTGTAGGCAGGAGAACTAGGCCTACTCAAATGATTTTTCCCTAGAATTATGTAGCATTGCTCCCAACATTCAGGTTTAATTTCAGTGTTGGCACTTTGCAATAAATAAGTGGGTTTTGGGCTGCAGTTTGGACACTCCTCTGTAAAAGGTTTGCCATCACTGGAAGCTTTAAGGAGCCAGGCCCTATGCCACCTTGGGTCTAAAAGAACAAAAGGCCTCTTTAGGGAGGTTTCTGTCAGGACAAAATGGTAAGGCCCCTTCAGAGCAGACAGATGATATTGCAGAGGTTAGTGAAAGAGTTGGGGGGAGTCTAGAAGATAAAGGTGAATATGAGCCAGGTGTGGCACATAGTATAATCCCAGCACTGTGGAGGTTTAGGCAGGAGGATCACCATGACTTCGAGGCCAGCCTGAACTAGCTAGACCATCTCAAAAGACAAAACAGGCCGGGGATTTAGCTCAGTGGTTCCGGCGCCTGCCTCGCAAGCCCAAGGGCCCGAGTTCGATCCCCAGTACCAAAAAAACAAAACAAAAAACAACCAAGGTCAATATGTATTACCTGTCCTGTGCTGGTGAGGAGGGTGCCCCTGAGAATGGGCAGACAGGCCCCAGCTTTTGCAGAGCTTCTTCTAATGGCACAATTAAAGAAAAGCAAACCCATTGCAGTCAGTGCCGTGTTGGGTCCTCCTTGAGATCTAGATGTCCTCTGAGGGCAGAGAGCCCTTGGATTCCCTTCCCTGACCCCTCCCTTGAACCCCAGCGCAGGGACACGGCAGGAGATGTGTGTGCAAAAGCCTTCTGCACTGACGGAGTGACCCCTCCCCCAGTATGCTGCAACCAACCCCCTCACAGCCTTTTCACGGGAGTCGTGGGTGTTGGTGCCACAGCTCACGCTTGGCGGCACTGCCCCCCCATCACTTCCAGGCCCTTTCTCTCCCAGACACCATCCGGAAGATGAAGAATGATTTCCGGAAGATGGAGGACGAGATGGACCGGCTGGCGACCAACATGGCTGTGATTACCGACTTCAGTGCACGCATTAGTGCCACGCTGCAAGACCACCATGAGCGCATCACAAAGTTGGCAGGTGGGCACCTTCCCAGGCGGGTCCTTCAAGAGGCAGTGGCCCGGGCTGTAGGCTGACACCCCTCTGGTCCCATCCTGGTCCGGCAGGGGTGCACGCTCTGTTGCGGAAGCTGCAGTTCCTCTTCGAGCTGCCCTCGCGCCTCACCAAGTGTGTGGAGCTGGGTGCCTACGGGCAAGCGGTGCGCTACCAGGGCCGAGCGCGGGCTGTGCTACAGCAGTACCAGCACCTGCCCTCCTTCCGCGCCATCCAGGATGACTGCCAGGTCATCACAGCCCGCCTTGCCCAGCAGCTGCGGCAGCGCTTCAGGTATGGCTCTTTAGCGCCCACTCCAGGCTCCCAGGCCATCAGGAGCTGTTGCCCTACCACACACTTTCCCTTCCTTTCCTTTCCTCTGATCCCACAGGGAGGGTGGCTCTGGAGCCCCCGAGCAGGCTGAATGTGTAGAGCTGCTGCTGGCACTGGGCGAACCTGCGGAGGAGCTGTGCGAGGAGTTCCTGGTGCACGCCAGGGGTCGGCTGGAGGAGGAGCTCAGCGCCCTGGAGAAGGAGCTGGGGCCCTCTCCCCCCGCTCCTGATGTGTTGGAGTTTACTGACCGAGGTGGCAGTGGCTTTGTGGGTGGTCTCTGCCAGGTGGCAGCAGCCTACCAAGAGCTGTTCGAAGCCCAGGGCCCCAGGGGTGGAGAGAAGCTGGCAGCCTTTGCCCAGGAGCTGGGCGGCTGCTACTTTGAGCTGGTGGAACGGCGGCTGGCACAGGAACAGGGTGGTGGTGACAACTCGCTACTCGTACGGGCACTGGATCGTTTCCACCGGCGCTTGCGAGCACCTGGGCCCCTGCTGGCTGCTGCTGGGCTCACCGAGTCAGCTACGGAGATTGTGGAGCGAGTGGCCCGGGAGCGCCTGGGTTACCACCTGCAGGGCCTGCAGACGGCTTTCCTGGGCTGTCTGACTGATGTGCGCCAGGCGCTTGCTGCCCCTCGCCTGGCTGGGAAGGAGGGGCCCAGCCTGGCCGAGTTGCTGGCCAGTGTGGCCAGCTCCATCCAGAGCCACATCAAGGCCTCTCTGGCTGCTGTTCATCTCTTCACTGCCAAGGAGGTGTCCTTCTCCAACAAACCCTACTTCCGGGTACAGTCTGCCCTTGGGCTCAGGGTTATTGATCCTGCTAGTTAGCCCAGTACCAGTACCCTTACTGGTGGTTGGGAAACTGGGCAGGAGCTAATAGCATTCAGAGTCCTGGCCCCAGGGACTCTGGATATGGATTCAGGTTCTCAAGAGGCACAATTGGGAGGGTTGGGGGGAGGGCTACAGCCACCTGCAACTGGCTGAAAGTAGGCAAGTGGCAGGGTCCCCAGGGCTGCCAACCCCCCAAGCCTATGCCTGGGCCAATCAGGGAAGTTGCCCTTGGTACTTGGAATGTAGGATGAAGCTTTCCCATGGAACAGGGCCGGGGCAGAGGGTAAGGAGGGGCCCCTGCCTAGAAGAGAGGGCCACCTGTATATCTGGGCCCTCCCTCCTCACAGGGTGAGTTCTGCAGCCAAGGAGTCCGCGAGGGCCTCATTGTGGGCTTCATCCGTTCAATGTGCCAGACAGCCCAGAGCTTCTGTGACAGCGCAGGGGAGAAGGGGGGTGCCACACCACCTGCCCTCCTTCTGCTCCTCTCTCGCCTCTGCCTGGATTATGAGACCGCCACCATCTCCTATATCCTCACCCTCACTGATGAGCAGTTTCTGGTGCAGGTGAACAGCTGGCTTGTAGCAGGGTAGCAGGGGATGGTGCTGGGAACACAGGAGGCTGGATGGTCCCTTGTGGCCAACCCCAGACTGGCTATCTGTGCCCACCCAACCTCCACGTTGCCCAGTCTGTCCAGCTTGGGTGACAGCTGCCAATGACCTGCCCCATATCCACTGTCTCTGTCCTTTGCCTTCTTGGCTTAGGACCAGTCTCCGGTGACACCTGTGAGTACACTGTGTGCAGAGGCCAGGGAGACTGCACGGCGGCTGCTGACCCACTACGTGAAAGTGCAGGGCCTGGTCATATCGCAGATGCTGCGAAAGAGCGTGGAGACACGGGACTGGCTCAGTACCCTTGAGCCCCGCAATGTGCGCGCTGTCATGAAGCGGGTGGTGGAGGACACCACAGCAATCGATGTGCAGGTGCTGCCTGGGCTGCTGGCAGAGCACTGACATGGGCGGGAGTTCTGAGGGTCAGCCTTCTGAGGACGAGACAAAGGGGCCAGGCAGTGCCTGTATCCATGGCCTTGTTCCTCTTCATCCTGGATTATGGTATCCCCTCTTTCACCTATAGAGTCATGAAGTCAGGGCAGGTCTGGTGCTGAAGATTGGGTCCCAGACTTTTGTGGCCGGCCTTTGTCCCACTCCACTGATTCTATAAATGGTGACCAATTACCCTGTGATTCTTACAACAAATACTGTAGTTAACTGAATCCTCTCCTGGACCTAACTGGAGTCCCATGCTTGGCCTCCATGCAGTGTGTCCTTTCACCACCAGGTGGGGCTCCTGTACGAAGAGGGTGTTCGCAAGGCCCAAAGCAGCGACTCCAGCAAGAGGACCTTCTCGGTGTACAGTAGTTCTCGGCAGCAGGGCCGCTATGCACCCAGCTACACACCCAGGTCTGGCTGGTAGGGCAGCCCCAGGGAAACAGACAAGAGAGAACAAGTGCGCAGGGTGGTCTCTGATTCTTTGTCTCCTCCCTCCAGTGCCCCCATGGACACCAACCTTTTGAGCAATATCCAGAAGCTGTTCTCTGAACGCATTGATGTGTTCAGCCCCGTGGAGTTCAACAAGGTCTGAAGTTCCACGTGACCCAGGCTTCAGGGGGCCAGGGAAGGTTGCCTGGAGCAGTGCCCCACCAGCCGAGGAAGCCCTAGGACGCACCTGATACCTTCCCCGGGGTCTCTAGGGATGTGTCTAGGTAGTCTTCATGGCCCCAGCCTGGGAGCTGACCTAGATGCTCTCTGTCGTCCTTGTCCCCACAGTAGTCCTGGGGTTTCCGGAGAGATTGCTCTTGACACCTTGGCTTCTGCTCCACCCTAGCCCACCCTCAGGGATTGGGTTTCTCAGTAACATACCCCGCTACCCCATGCTAATGCTGGCCCCTGTCTCACCCTGTGATTGTTGGGTTGTACCCGCCCCCCACCCCATTCCAGACGGTGGTGCTAACATTGTATCCCTTCCCCTTGCCTGAGCCCCAGGTCTTTCAGCCTTATCCCATCTGCCCCCTTCTTATGGCTCCTTGCCTTTATTCAGAAGCTGGGCGTTCCCCCTCCCCACAGCAGTTACCAGCCACATCCCTGTGTTCCCGCCTGCAGGTATCGGTGCTGACTGGCATCATTAAGATCAGCCTGAAGACCTTGCTGGAGTGCGTTCGGCTGCGCACTTTTGGGCGTTTCGGGCTACAGCAGGTGCAGGTGGACTGCCACTTCCTGCAGCTCTACTTGTGGCGCTTTGTGGCCGACGAGGAGCTTGTGCACCTGCTGCTGGACGAAGTGGTGGCCTCGGCAGCCCTGCGCTGTCCAGACCCAGTGCCCATGGAGCCCAGTGTCGTCGAGGTCATCTGCGAGCGCGGCTAGGTCCAGTGGATGTCCCGCAGTGCCCTGTTCCCCCAGCCCGGAATCCCCTGGCGGCCCCTCCCCGCAGGTCGGTGTTAGAACCCACCTAATAAAATGTGTGTGGCCTCTTTCAACCTTTCGCTCGGGGGGGTGGGGCCTCGAGATTGGGGTCACATTGGCGGCTGCGCAGGGCCCGCCTCGGCTGCTGATTGGCTGGCGCGCTGGGCCCAGGGTGGGTAGGGGGTGTGGCCACGGGAACAAGAGCGACACTGTCCAGCCCTGTGTCAGAACAGGTGTCGGTGTCGTATGGCCAGATCTTGATTCACCAGCCCACTTTCTTGGGCATGTGTGGGGTCATGTTTCCTCGACCGACTTTGTGAGCCCCCGTCCCCCGGCGGAGCGGAGACCATGGCCTCTCAGGGTCCCCAGGCCCCACTGGAATTCGGGGGGCCCCTGGGTAATGGAGCAGAGAGGGTGTACTTGGGGGCGGAGGCCGAGCTAAGGCGAGCTGGAGGGGATGAGCTGGATTCGCGGACGGCGCAGGATCTGAGGACGGAAGGCTGTGGGCTTGGGGTGTGCTGGGGACAGTGTCCGCAGGGGGCAGCTGGGAGGGGTTCGCTGGGCGGTGCGAGACCGAGGGCAGCGCGGGGGTTCCCAAGGGAAACCGAGGCGGACGACAGTGGGACGCCGGAATCGGGGACGGCTGGGGGCGCAGTAAATGCCTCGATCCCTCCACAGGCGCCGCGGCGCTCATGCTGCTGTTGCCCGCCACCACGATCCACCTGCTCCTGGTGGCCCGCTCCGGCCCAGCTCGCCTCCTGGGTCCACCCCCGCACCTGCCCGGGCTCTCAGCGCTGTGGAGCCCTCCAGCGCTGCTGCTGTTGCTCACCTGGCTCGGCCTACAGGCAGCGCTCTATCTGCTGCCGGCGCGCAAGGTGTGGGCTCCGCTCCAAGGCGAGAGGGAGGAGGGCGCCCTGCGGGAGAGGAGGCGCCCGACCCTTCTCAGATCCCCCTTTGCACTTGTAGGTGACGGAGGGGCTGGAGTTGAAGGACAAGAGTCGCCTGCGCTATCCTATTAACGGTGCTTGGGGAACCAGCCCTTGGCTGGAATTGTGCGGGTGGCAGTGGGGTTCACATCTAGCGCGAGGGGCGAGGTCGTAGAGGTTAGCCCCAGTCCCAAGCTCCGGGGTCTCTTCTTTGTCCCCACCCCCTTACCTCATTTACTGCTGCTCTGAACACCAATGGAGTGGCAGGAGTGGCCCTCTGAAGGCCTAGGTGGCTGCCTAGTGGCCTAGGGCGAGGTTTGGGACGTCCTTGAGCTTTGAGCTCTGTGTGTCGGTGCTTGTGTGTCTTGTGTTCTTGAGGGGTTGGGAGGGAGACCTACAGCCCCAGGACTCACTGTGCTGCTGCTGTTCAGGCTTCCAGGCCCTGGTGCTGACAGCCCTATTGGTGGGGCTGGGGCTGTCTGTGGGACTTCCCCTGGGGATGCTCTCGGACATGCTGCTGCCCTTGGCGTTCACGACCACCCTCACCACCTTCATCTTCAGCTTCCTTCTCTATATGAAGGCCCAGATGGCCCCTCCCTCGGGCCTGGCACCTGGGGGAAACTCAGGTGAGAAGGGTCTCAGTGGGGTGGAGATGGAGGTAGATGGGGCTGGCCCCCTGCAACTTCATTCTTCCCTACTCTCCAGGCAACACCATTTACGACTTCTTCATGGGACGGGAGCTGAACCCTCGAATTTGTTCCTTTGACTTCAAATATTTCTGCGAGCTGAGGCCTGGCCTCATTGGCTGGGTATGCTGGGCTTGAGTGGGCTGACCTGGGGCCAGAGAGGGGCAGGATGCCTTTGTTCGTCAAGTGTGTTCATCCACCCCATGCCCCTGACATTGCTGTAGTACTGGGAGACCAAAGGGGGAAAAGTCTCTGCCCCATAAAGCCTTCATTCTGGTTGACAACACTCCAGCTGTGTTCTTTGGTTATTATCACCCATGCTGGGTGGTGAGCAGGGTTACCAAAGGCACTTGGGCCAAGTTCCTCGTGTAACTTTGGAAATAATCTCTTTGAAGTAGGGCTGCCAAGTGCCCACCATTAATCTTTTCTTGGGAGTGGGGGGTACTGGGAATTGAATTTAGGGTCTTCACACTGAGCTACCTATATCCTCTGCCCTTTTTTTTTTTTGGTACCAGGGATCGAACTTGGATCCTTGCGCTTGTACAGCAGGCAGCAAAACCACTGAGCTAAATCCCCGGCCATCTTCTGCCCTTTAAAAAAAATTTTTTTTGAGACAGTTTCATTATGTCACTAAGTTGCCCAGGTTGGGCTCAAACTTGTGATCCTCCTGCCTCAGCCTCCAAAATAGTTGGGATTACAGGTATGTTGGTCACCTGGCTTCATCATGGATCTGGATTCTGACCTGCTCACAGCCATGTCAGTCTCTCAGCTATTTCCTCATTCATGAAATGGGGTAGAATTAAAGCTTTCTTCCAAGATTATCATGAGAATTAGAACCTTAATAACAGCACCTAGCCCAGTGCTAAATGTTCTTAGTTTAGGCTGGGTCCTACTTTCACACACGTTATGTTGGAGTCTTCAGAAACACCACCATGAAGCCAGGGGTGGTGACACACCCCTGTAATCCCAGCACTCAGGAGGCTGAGGCAGGATTACAAGTTCCAGGCCAGCCTGGACTACACAGTGAGTTCAAACCCAGCCTGGACACCCTGTCTCAAAAAATGAAAACAAACATAAAAGCCAACCATCATGAGGCAGGTCCATGATTAGTATGTCCATTTTCCCCAGAGTGGTAAAGAAAGTGAGCAGCCTTTTTGAAAGTGGCAAAGCTCAGATTCAAAACCAGTTTTAATCAAGAGCTGGAACTGCAGTCTGCATCCCTGGGTACAGGGCCTGGGTCCTTTCAACAAGGGGCTGGAGAGTGACTGACAGCAACAGCTGTAGATGAGAGGCAGGCACTGCCCCACCCAGGTCTTGCCGCTTCTGTGGAGATAATGGCCCTGTTTCCCTCCTCACCCCCAGGTCCTCATCAACCTGGCCCTTCTTATGCAGGAGGCGGAGCTGCGGGGGAGCCCCTCCCTGGCCATGTGGCTGGTAAATGGCTTCCAGCTGCTGTATGTGGGCGATGCCCTCTGGCATGAGGTGAGGCTGGACTGGGCAAGGGAGGCAGGGAGGGACTCTGAGGACCTCGTCAGGACTAAGCCAGGGTCTGGGTCCTGTCCCTGCAGGAGGCTGTCCTCACCACCATGGACATCACCCATGATGGGTTTGGCTTCATGCTGGCATTTGGCGACCTAGTCTGGGTACCCTTCACCTACAGCCTGCAGGCTCAATTCCTGCTCCACCACCCACAGCCCCTGGGGCCGCCCACCGCCTTGGTCATTTGCCTCATCAATGGTCAGTCAGGAAGGGCAGCAAGCTGGGCCTGTCATTTCTTCCCCTTTCATTCACTCACGTCCTAGTCAGCATCCAGTGGGCAGGTGCTAAGCTCATATGCTTCTTTAAAGCTGGGGGCCGGGGCTGCTGGGCTGCAGACAGGGTGGTGGATGGTGAGGGTCAGGCAGATGGCTATGACCCTCAACCCTGACCCCCGCTCATGCTTTCCCCCAGCCGTTGGTTACTACATTTTTCGTGGGGCCAATTCCCAGAAAAACACTTTCCGGAAGAATCCTTCTGACCCCAGCGTGGCTGGTGAGCTGTCTCTCTTGGGGACCACCGGTGAGGTAGGGGAGCAGGGCTTTCGGGAGTTTCCTACCCTACTACTTTTTTCCCCTAGGCCTCGAGACCATCCCTACAGCCACGGGAAAGAGGCTGCTGGTGTCTGGGTGGTGGGGTATGGTCCGCCATCCCAACTACCTTGGGGACCTTGTCATGGCTCTGGCCTGGTCCTTGCCCTGTGGTGAGTGGCATGGATAGGGATGGGCAGGGGTCCCATGATCACAGGATGCCCAGCCTGGGTGGGCCTGGCAGTGCCTAGGGAGGGACTTGGCATGTGGCTGGCCAGGCTCAGAGCCAGTGCGTACTGGATGCCTCACTAGGGACCTGATCCTTTCACTTCACGGCTGATCTGACACCTTGTGAGCCGCTAGGGGTGGGAACCTGTGACCTGGCTGGGTGGTCTCAGAGCCCCATTTTTTTCAGGGTTGTCCCACTTGCTCCCCTACTTCTACTTTCTCTACTTCCTCGCGTTGCTGGTGCACCGGGAGGCTCGAGATGAGCGGCAGTGCCTACAGAAGTACGGCCGGGCCTGGCAGGAGTACTGCCAGCGTGTGCCTTACCGTATCATACCCTACATCTACTGAACAGTCCTGTGGCCTACGCACCAGAAGCCAAGAAGCCAGGATACACAGGGACTTATGAGCCTGCACCCCAACCAGCCCAGAGCTGGACCAAGCTCACAGAAGAGGTGTTGGGAGCACTGTCCCCCTTTGCATAAATGTCCAGAACCCACAGTACACTTCTCTCCCATTCTGGGGCCACTGTGTTTATGACCAGCTGGGTCAGCTCTGAGAAGGGAGAAGTTGAGAGGAAGTATGTGGGTCCCAAGAGTCTGGGTTGTGGTGGACGACAGTTGTCACTCAGATACAGGCACTGCCAACAAGTGGGCAGACCAGTCACAGCTTTATTAATGAGAAGGGTCCCCAGTTCGGCCAGGAAGCTCCTCAATGAGAGTCTTTGGGGCAGGTGGCATGGGGCCTCCCCAAAGCCGCTCCAGCTCCTCAGTGAGGGCTGCCACCTCCTCGGCTGCCATAGCATGGGCTCGGTAGGCCAAGGTGCAGTCTAGGCCCAGGGGCATGAGAGCGTCCTCATTTTCGTTGGTCCAGGCCAGTAGGAACTGGCACTTCTTCCGGGCCCGGTAGAGGCGATCTCGCTCATTCCTAACCAAGGCCTGTTTCCGGGCCCGGCCTAGGCTCTGTGCGAGGTGCCCCAGTGCTGCCAGCGTGTACCCTTTCCGGTTGGCCGGACCCTCACCCCATAAAATTCGGGCGGACTCCTGCATCGCACCCCGTGTACCCAGAGGCCCGGGAGGATGCTCGCCTGCTTCCAGTACGTGGGCTGCAGCCTGCAGGGCTTCCTCCGCAGAGGCGAAGATTTGCTGGGTGCCCAGGGCTCCGGAGACGCCGAGCAGCGTGGCACAGAAGTCGGAGAGCAGCGCGTCGTCTCCCCCGTGATAGAGGGCCAGAGTGTGCGCGTAGGCGAACAGCACGTTGGGAAGCTGGAAGCGCACGAGGGGCGAGGTTGGGCTGCGACTCAGGCTGGCCAGCGTGGGGATGCGGGTGGGCACGGCCGGCGCGCAGTTCAGGTCTCCGGGAATCGGCTCCGCGGGATCCCCGCCCGAGCTGCCATCCAGCTCCTCCAGAAGCCATGGTCGGGTTCTGCGGCCCCACCACCATGGCCGCCACGGGGGCAGCAGCCGCCCCGCCTCGCCTTGTCTCAGTAGTCGTTCGAAGGCCGCTTTCTCGACAGGCGTCAGCCGTTCCCAGAGTCCTGAAAGGGCGCCAGGCCCGGGGCCAGGACTGAGGCTCGTCTCCCCAGGCACGTTCTCTGTTTCGCGTTGCTGGCGCAGCCGGCGCAGGGCGCCCGCCAGGCGGCTGGGAGAGGCACTGCGGCCGCGGAGCTCTCCCAGCACCTGGTCCCGGTAGAAGGCTTCGGCGCAGGTGCCATGCGTCCGGTAGCAGCGCAGCGAGCAGTAGGGCACATTGCAGCGAGGGCAGGTGTACCGCGCCGGCTGGGCCTCTCCAGCCGGGCAGAAACCGCAAGGCCCAGCTGGTTCCATGGTTATTGGCGCCGCGCGGCAGCGGCGAATCCACAGGGGCCGTAGCGTAGCCACTTCCGGTGCGGCTTCGCTTCCTTCCGCCTCTTTGCCGGGCGGACCGAGCGTTAGGGGTACGAACATGCCGAGGCTTCTCGGCCATTTCCGCCCCGACTCGGACGCCCATCACGCCAGCGAGGAGCCCGCACAAACCCCGCCCACCTGGGTGACACAGCCAGATGGGGAAAACGCACAAAGTCGCGCTTTGTCGGTCCCAGCTCGGCCCCTAGCGGCTGCCCCAACTTTGGCCCCAGATTACCTAAAAATAAAGCCTTTCTAGCACTGTAAAGAGCTGCAACAGACATCAACCTTTGCTAAACACCTACTCTGGGCCACTAATTGTGCCAGGCCTATAGGAGATGAAACTCGTCCCTGCACTGGAGGAGCAGCAATTCTAATTAGAGGACATAACGGGGGGAGGGGGTTAGAGGGGCAGAAGGACGGTGAAGATGAGGACACCCAGACTATCTCATCTAGGGTGTTGGGGTCATTGCCCCTTCAACAGAAGCCATGTTTAACAAATGACTGAGCTCTCGCTTAGTTTTCTCCTCCACACAGGCCTCTTCTTTCAAAGTAGCTTCTCATTAAATATCACCATCGCTTATTTACCTCTGTCAAATGTACACTCCATATTAAGGACCAAAAATACAATGAGAATGAGAGGGAGGGGATCTATCCTGGCTTAGTATTGTGTGGAGATGAACCACAAACAACTGTGCCACACACCACGTGACATTGCCCCGGTAAGACCCAGCGTCTGTTTTGGAGTACTGGGGATTGAACCCATGGGCTACCAGAGTTATATCCCAATCCTCATCCCTTCCACCCCTTAAAAAATTTTTTTTTTCCGGTACCAGGGATCAAAATTAGGACCTTGTACTTGCAAAAAGGTTTGGTGCCACTTAACCAAATCCCCAGCCCCTCTTTTTAACATTTTGAGATGGAATCTCAGTAAGTTGTCCAGGCTGTCCTGAAACTTGTTTCTCCTGCCTCAGCCTCCTCAATGTTGGGATTACAAGTGTGTGCCACTGCGCCCAGCTAGCCCTAGTTCTTTGGTCCTCATCTCATATTCAATCCCATATTCTGTCAATTCTGACTCTGAAATACTTTGCATTAATCTTGACATAGGTCATTTATTTCACCACCAAGATTTGGATGGACTTGAAGCCCTTTGTATCCCAGCTAATGGTAAGCTACCTGCCCCCTCATCTGGGTGACAATCCCTTAACTGGTTTCCTAACACATTTGCCAGTGGACCATAAAAATCAACCAGAGAATTGAGATGGCAGGGTGTATGTAGCTCAGTGGGACAGAACTTACCTAGACTCCCGGAGGCCCTGACTTCATCCCCAGAACTGAGGTAGGGGCTGGAAAATGAGCAAGACCTAGTCTCAAAATTAAAAAGGGGCTGGGAATACAACTCAGTGGTAGAGCGCCCCTGGGTTTGATAACAGGACTGCAAACCTGCCCCCTGCCAAAAAAAACCCCACACGAGACAATTTAGATTACAGGTCAGATCACATCATATCAGGCTTAAATCCTTCTGATGACTCTATTGCACTTAGACTCAATACCTGCAATAATTTTAATGTTTCACCAATGTTAAAATTTAATCCCTACTGAAATATTAAGGGAGGACCTTTAAGCAGGGCACAATGCCCCCCATGTAATTCCAGTACTCTGGGAAGCTGGAGGAATGAGGATGAACCAAGTTTGAGCCCAGCGTGGGTCACTTAGTGAGACCGTCAAAAAAAAAAAAAAAAAAAGGTGGGACCTGTTAAAGGGTGGTGGTTAGGATTAGTGAGTTATTTGGAGGATGGGTGTTATAAAAGTTTGTTGCCTGGTATGGTGGTGAATGACTATGATCCCAACACTGGAGAGGCTGAGGCAGGAGGGTCGCCTTGAGTTGAAGCCTACTTGGGTGATATAGTCAGTTTAAGGCCAGCATGAACTCATGAACTATATGGCAAGACCCTGTTTCACACCCCCGTATCCCCCCAACCCCCTGCCAAAATGATAGGACTAGAATCAAAAGGTGTATAAAAGGTTGATCGCTTTGTGAAATCCCTGATCGGCCCACCAGCATAATAAAGCTATACACTTACCTCCAAAAAAAAAAAAGTGTAAGAGGGCCAGGGATGTACATCAGTGGCACTGGCCCTGCCTTGCAAGCACAAGGCCATGAGTTTGATCCCTATACCAAAAGAAAAAAAAGGTGCATAAAAGAAATTTCCTTTTTAGTTGAGACAGTCTTGCTCTGTAATTCAGTTTAGCCTTTAACTCAAGGTAATCCTTTTGCCTATGCAACATGAGCTCTTCTAAGTCACATCACTTTTGCTCCTGTCTTTGCTCAATTCTCTTGCCTAGAATTTTTCCCAGCACCACAACGACTATTTCTGGTTTTGAGACTGGGTTTCATTGTGTAGCCTAGGCTGGCCTTGAACTCTTGATCCTCCTGCCTCAGTTTAAAATTTAAAGAAAATTCAAACTGCTAGAACCATTTCTAAGGCTACAGAGATTAGCCAGATGTGGTGGCACACACCTGTAGGCCCAGCATTTGGGAGGCTGAGGCAGGTGGATCATGAGTTCAGGGCCAGCCTGTATTACACAGCAAGACTCTGTCTCAAAGACACATGTTCAAAGACTACAGACACAAAAATAGCCAACACTTATACTTCATTTTACATCTCTAGCTAGGCGTGGTGGCACATGCCTGTAATCCCAGCACTTGGGAAGCTGAGGTAGGACTGAATGCTTTGAGTTCAAGACCTGCTTGAAGTGCATGGCAAGATTCTGTCTCAAAAAAACAAAACCAGATCTTTTCATTTATCCTCACTACAACTCCTAGCCAGCCAGGAAATGGAGAAAGAAGAAGAGAAAAAGATTCAAACTCAGCAGTCCAAGTCCAGAGCTCCATGGTACACTGACTTTGAAGAACCACGAGGTTTAAAAACAGGTCCATACATGAAGGAAGATTCAGTTGTTAGGAGTAAACCTTGAACCAGCCTTGGAGTAGCCTCTCTTTTGGAATATTGAAAAACTTATCCTATCCTAGAAAAATTTATCCTAAGTGTGATTAGGTTATCAAGGCTGGCCAAGCAGTCAGAGGTACATGGTCAGACACTCAGTAGTCAAGCAACAGATGTCCAGACTGAGGCATACCAGGTTCCTTGTGTGCTGGACTTCAGGCCATAGCTGGTTCACTGTCCAGCGAAGGGTCAGACTAGTGTTCCTTGGTGCATCTATCCAAACCACTTCCTTCCCTTCCACACTGACTCCGTAACAAACTCCCCAGCCAATAATTCCTGCTGTTCACTCTTAGAAGCTGAGGAAGGACTTGGGAGTAATTACCAAGCTGTACAGGATGGGGAATATCCCAAACTCCACCTCTTAAGCACTGGTATCCACAATGATTCTCAGAGGAGAGCTTCCCCTAAATTTTAACACTCTCCCCAGGCTTCCCTGATTTAGGGAACACACCACCAGCCCTGGAACCCACACCTCTCCCCAAGGCCCTGCAAATGAAGAGGAAACAATAAGCCGCCTGGGCAAAGTGGCTTTATTAGAGAAAGCCAGGATTACATAGGATTTAAGAGTTGGCATTGGGTCCCTTCTTCTTGCCAAAGGTGGGCACGACGTTGACAAAGCGCCGGTTGTACTGCATTCGGCGTTTGGCCCGGCCTGTCTTCTTCTTCTTCTTCTCCTGTTTGGCCACCTAGGAAAAAAAAGGGAGGGCTGATCACTTTGGCTGACCTCTCCCATGCCTGGCATCCTTCCCTTGACCTCCTCTCCATGAAGCAAAAGGGCAGACCAAAATCAAAGGTCTTGGCTTAACTACGATAGGAGAGAACAAGGTCCAAACACCAACTTTCTCACTCACCTTGGGCGTCTGACCTCTCACTTTTCCAGCTCGAGCTAGGGAACCATGGACTTTACCTATAGTGGGAAAATAGAATAGCAGCAGGTAAGAAACAAGAGGCATCTTCCAGAACAACCTCCCTCTCAACCTAAATTTTTTTTCAATACAAAAGAAAATAAAGCCTCCCCCCAAAAATAAAAAAAAATTTTCCAGTGTGGAAAATGAACGTGTAAGACAAGCACTCTACCAGGCAGGCACACCCCTAGCTCTTTTTATTTTAAAACAAAGTTTCACTAAGTTGCCAGGCTGGGCTCAAATATACATTCTCCTGCTCCAGCCTCCCTGGTAGCTTCGATCACCAGGTGTTTGCCACCATATCCAGTTTCAACTGAATTTCTAAGATATGTGGAGCCCAACAACGAATGAAACAACAAAGATACAGAAATTCGACCTCTAACTACATTTTACCTCAGAATTTTCCAAATCCCGACTTTGGGGGAAGATGGGCTGTATCCTGGGGACTGAACCCAGGGCCTTTTACTGAGCTAGATTCCTGGCCCTTTTTAGAATTTTGAGGCAGGGTCTAAATCATTAAATTGCCTGGGTTGGGCTCAAATCGTGTGATCTTTCTGATTCAGCCTCCCAGGCTGATGGGATTACAAGTAGGTGCCCCTACACTCTCACTTTTAACAAAACTGAAAAGTGCCTTGGGGATCTGGTCTGAGCTGATTTTAGTGGCAAAACTAGAACCACCTGGTAAGACCAAAAGAAAAAACAAAATCACTTCTGCTCAGTTCACACAAACTCTCCAGAGTTCGTTCTGAGGGAGGTAAAAAGAATCATCCTGCATTGAGGATCCCCAGAAGGCAGTTAAGTGTATTATCTCAGAAATAACTGAACTGGGTTGGGTGTGTCGATACACGCCAGTAATCCCAGCTCTCAGGAGGCTCAGGCAGGAGGATCACTTCCAATTTGAGGCCAGCCCTGACCACAGAGTGAGATCCCATCTTGAATAAGCAAAACCAAAAGTATAAAAAAAAAAAAAAAAAAAAAAAAAAAAAAAGGACCGAGCTGCCACAGCTTGTACCACACACCCATTAGGTAAGAGCATTTAAAAAAAACACTTCTCCACTCACCTCCAAGCATTCGGCCAGCTACTTCCAGAGTGCCCAAGGCTTCCACACCACACTGGCCAAGGGTGGCATCATCTTCCAGCGGCTTGCCTGCCAGGAGCACGACTTGATCTTCCGGTGCGATGCCTTCCAGTGAGGCCACTTGAGCCTATGGGGGGTGGGGGAGTCTTGTAAGCGTCTCAGTGGAGAATGTTAAGAGGACAGAACACGGAGAGGCCAATACAGCCTTACCTTGATCTGGGCGACCGTCTCATGGCCGGTCACTTCGATGGTGTGTAGGTCCTGGGCGCGAACAAAGAGCTGCATGATGACAACTAGGAAAAGGAGACCGGCTTTAAGAAAAGGACAAAAACGCTCTCTGAGAAAGGGCGTCTGGGAATGGGAGAAGCGGCCCACAGACGATCTCGCAGGGACGGAGCCAGACGCGGTGTCTCACGTGGGAAAGGCAGAGCCTGCTAGACGATTCGGCTAGGAACAGCAGCGAGGGCCATAGAGCAGCTGTGCTACTTCCGTAGCCTCTGACCAGGCGGTCAGAACGCTAAATCCAGCCGTCTTACAAGTCTTACCTGAACCGCTGACCCAGCCACCACTACCGCGAAGATGGAGTCGAGAAAGAGGAAGGAGCCAGGGCGCGCACGTCGTCACCGCCTACTGCGTGTCACGTCACTACTGAGCGACCATGCTGGTTTCTTTTATTTCTACCGCCCACCTCCGCCCTAACCCCGCCTTTGCACGCTTTGCGCAGGCGTCCTTTGGTTTGGGGCGGTGCGCGCAGGAGTGGGCGGGATCGAGCCGGCTGCGCGCGCAGAATTCCCGTGTGGGGGCAGTCCAAGATGGCTGTGTCAGTGTTACGTGCTTGTCTCCGGTGCTGGAGAACTGGCATCCGGTGGGGCTGCGGGCTACGACAGCTGGTGAGCGTGCTGAGCTTGTCGCTGAGGGCAGAGGAGGGTGTGTGGAGGCTCGTGTTAGTCATTGTAACCCTGAAACCTGCATTTCTACATGGGGCTTTAGTGTTTCTAATCGGTGGCACTTGTTTGGAGGGTAGATAGGTTGAATGGGAAGAAAGGTGGCAGACTCTGGAGTGTACTTGGCGGTGTTAGGGATGTGAAGGGTGGAATGTGGCTGCAGGAAAGCCTAGGTTAGTCAGGAATGACAGGAGCTGCACATCGACTTTCACTGCCTGGATCCCAAAGTATGAGTCAGAGTGGGGAATTATGACTGGTTAAAATTGGTGATTTGAGTCCTATAGAAATTCTGAGACACGCATACTGTTCAGAGTGCTTGAACGTCTTTCCAGTGCCACCTGCACTCTGCTTACTGAAAAAGAAGTCTACTGCTCTTCCACCCGTAGTCTTTTATTTATGCCATTTTCTCTGCCTGAAGTGTTTCCTTTCTCTGCTAAGTTTATTCTGTGTTGTGTGAGTCAGTGGAGAGATGGTTGATTTGTTTTGTCTCAGAGCCAGACGCAGGGGCCTCCTGATTACCGCAGTTTTGTGGAGTCCACAGATGAGTTCCAGTTTGTGGAGCGTCTGTTACCCCCCACCACGATCCCAAAGCCACCAAAGCATGAACATTATCCCACTCCAAGTGGCTGGCAGCCTCCCAGAGGTGAGCTGGGAATGGGGATGGTTGAAAAGCTGCAGGGAGCATTCCCCTCTCCAGTGGTCGGTCAGCTTACCCAGTGGGTTCAGTGTTGGCATGGGGCTTCCCATATCCCAAAAAATAAAGAATAAAGAGAAGACCCAAGTGCATGGACCGCCCCTCACCAGACTGCGCCATAATTGAGAACACAGTTTGGGAGTCAGGTAATTCAGAGTTTGAAATTGGCTGTGCTGTTCGCTGTTGTTGTGATTTTGAGTTAGTCACTTACCTTCTTCCAGCCTCAGTTTCAGTAAAGTGGAAATAAAACAGTACAGCCCGGGGATTTAGCTCAGTGGTTCTGCCGCCTGCCTCGAAAGCGCAAGGTCCCAAGTTCCATCCCTGGTACCAAAAAAAAAAAAATTAAAACAGTACAGAGCCCAACATATGGTAGGTGTTCAGTGTTTGTAAAGTCCTATCCCTTTGTTCCAGATATTGATCTCATCCTCCCTAGGCCAGTGGAAAAGGGCAATAATTGGCTACAGAGGAGGACCCAGAGATCCAGGAAGGCACAGCTCTGACGTCTTGAGTACCTGATAATTGGTACCAAGCCCTGATTTTAGTGTGAAAGTTTTCAGTTTTTGACCATTTAGTATGATGTTGGCTGTCGGTTTTTCATAGATAGCCTTAACCAGATTGAGATAAAGACCTATTTCAATTTTCTGTAGGGTTTTTTTTTTATCACGAATGGGTGTTGGATTTTGTCACATGGTTTTTCTGCATCTATTGAGATGATCATATGGTTTTTGTCCTTGACTCTGTTTATATGGTGTATTACATTTATTGATTTACGGATGTTGAACCATCCTTGCTTCCCTGGGATAAATCTGACTTGGTCAGGGTGTGTAATCTTCTTGATGACCCTCTGTATTCTGTTTGCCAGTATCTTGTTGAGGATTTTTGCATCTGTGTTCATTAGGGAGATTGGCCTGTAGTTCTCTCTTTTGGTTGGGTCTTTTTCTGGTTTTGGAATCAAAGTAACACTTGCTTCCAGGAATGAATTTGGAAGTAGGTACCAAGCGCTATGTAGGATACCAGGCTGAACAATTTGGTCCGACTAGACTGAAGGGAAGAGGAGATGCCCCAACCTGAGTTCTGGAGGTGTCTTGGTACAACTGGATGCAGTAATCCTCTTCAGGTTTTGTGAAAGGGCCTTGGCTGAGGTAGGATGAGACTTAGGAGTTGACTTGTCACTGTCTCTCCATTACAGACCCCCTACCCGATCTGCCCTACTATGTGCGGCGCTCCCGAATGCACAACATCCCTGTCTACAAAGACATAACACATGGCAACCGCCAGATGACTGTGATCCGGAAAGTGGAGGGAGACATCTGGGTAAGTGTGTGTGTGTGTGTGTATGTGTGTGTGTATATGTTGGGGGAGATCATAGTCCTCCAAAAACACTGACTGGCCTGATCTGTCATCCTTCCTCAGGCCCTGCAGAAGGACGTGGAAGAGTTTTTGAGCCCACTGCTGGGGAAGACACCTGTCACCCAGGTTAATGAGGTGACAGGTACCTTGCGGATCAAGGGCTACTTTGATGAGGAACTCAAAGCCTGGCTCCTTGAGAAGGGCTTCTGAGGCCTGCTGAGCAGCCTGCATGGACAGACTGGAGCCCAGGGAACTTTGGGAGAAGGAAGTGGGCTCTGGAGCCCCTGGGAAGGATACAAAGACTGGATGGAGTTGAAGATTTGGGCAGGGCAGAAAGTAAGAGCTAACAGGTTTGGGGGTCAAATCTTGCTTGTGTAAAAGGGAAATGGGTCCCTATGCATGTGTCTACTGGCAGAGCTGTCCAGTATGGGAGACTCACCAGGAACGGCCAAGATAGTAAGGGGCATTAACTGCTGTTCTTCCCGTCACTGTGGCCTGGTTTGATGGGCTCCTTGGGTTTAACTATTCAAATCTAGGGGATATCATCTGGTAGAAGGATAGCCCAGTCTGGCTGAGGGGAGGGTTCACAGGGCAGGCCCATTCCTGCTCACTGCTGGGAACACTCGTGAGACCTTGCTCTAGGCCAGACCTGGCTTGATGGAGACTGTAAAACACAGATGACTCAGGCATGGGGCTAAGCGCCAAGTGCATTGCTGGGCACTGGGGCAGAGTGCTGTGGTGGCAGCCTCATGGACAGGGAGGCCTCTCTCAGATCTCTGTGCCATTCCAGACTGGGGCTGATTGGATGCGTTTCTAGTTCAAGGAGTTAAGCAGTTAGCTGTGGGTGGCCTGGCCACAAGGAAGTGCCCAAGCACTCCTCGAAGCCCTTGGGCTGGCCCTTCCCAATGTCCTGGCCTGGAGTCCAGGCTGGACAGGGGTCTGCTGGCAGGAAGATGCAGGCCTCTTAGCCCTGCCATCCCATACCAACCTCAGCCAAGTAGCCCTCACACTTGTCCACCCCTGGAGTCACATGGGCCAAAGGCCTCACGTGACTGTCAGACTGGCTAAGGCAGTGTTTAGATCCTGGTAGCCCTAGTTGATCTGACCCAAGACGGGTATTAAGCCTCTCTGAGGCTGTTTCTCAGTGTGTTTCTTGGAGTGTCAAATGGGTATGTCTTCCTAGTTGTTTAATAATCAACAGTGTCCTCATTCCTGGAGGTTCCAGGCCATCCTCAAATCTACCGCCTCTACCAGGAAGAGGAGCTGGACCCTGACCCTATGACACAAGCCCACCAATTGTTAATGCAAGTTTTTATTTGGCTGTATATACAATTTAAGCTATTAAAATTTGTACAATATTTACAAATTAAATAATCATCTGAAACTGTCTCCAGCAACTCTTGTAACACAAAACTGAGGGGAAGAAAGACAGGGGCAGGCAGGCCTCAGCTCCCATGTTCCCTTTCTGTCTCAGAGCCTGTTCTAAACTAGAAAAACTAGGAGCCAGCACCCCTGCTTCTCCTTTCTGGGGTCAAGCATTCAGATTCAAAAGACTGATTTAAGCCAAAAGCCACTCGGTGAGGAAGTAGCTCCAATCCTGACTCAAGAAAAGTCCTGCAGGCTCAACAGTGGCCTTCTTGGATTCTGGGTTGCAGTGGTTGAGGAGCAGCACATCAGCCCTCAGCCCTGTTGTGGCTGGGCAGTGGCTGCTGGGTGAGGTGGCTCAGCCTCACCTGAGAAGCTGCAGGGGGAAGGGCCTGGGGGAGGGGTGGGGCAGGGTCCCTCAGTGCTGCCTGCCTGCCCCCACCCCCAGGCACTCCTTTCCCTGAGTTGTGTGGTTGCCAGTAAGATGTGGAAATGCCAGAGGGCATGGGGACACAGCTACCACCACAAGGGGCTTCTGGGAAGATGGAGGTATGAAGAGGAAATTGGTACCAGTCTTGGCAGGAAAGCCAGCAGCAAGTTCTTGGCCTGCCTCCAGCCCTTCCGGGATCCACACTTGGGAATGGGAGCTAATACTGTTCGGCACTGCAGCATGACCCCCTCACACACAGTAGGGCTCAGAGGAGCTGCCCTTCCCCCAGAAAGGGTGGGGAAGAAGAGGGTCTTAGAGGCTGAACCTTCTGCCTTCATAGTCCTGGCCGGGCCCTAGCACAGCAGAGTGCTACAGAGGTGGAGAGGACAGCTGGAACTGACCAGCATCCCCATGGGAGTGGGGCCAACTGGAAACGCCCTTTTTTCCACCTGGCCTCAGGAATGCCACTTCCTCTTCCTCAGAGCTGTGGTTACGACTCCCTGGTCAGACAGAGGGAGCTGGCACTTGGTGGCAGGATGTGTTCCAGCAAGGGCTGCTCAGGAGAGCAGGGCAGGGCTGGGGCAGTGTCAGTGGGCAACAGGGGACTCGAGCTTTTGCAGCCGGCGCCGGCGGAGCTCTGCAGCATCTGGCTCTCCATCTTCAGGTAGCTCCTCGGTGCCCACAGACTCAGGAGCTGGGGACGGAGAGGTCAGAAGTGGAACCCTGGGAAGCCCCTGCCCCACCCCCCAAGGCTGATCACATCCACCTGGAGGCTTTTCAGTTTCCTGGGCTGGTGAGGAGGCTTCTGGGGATGGTGTGGTGGCCTCAGAGCTGGGGGTGCTGATGGAGGCAGCAGCAACTGCTGTGGAAGCAGTCTCTTCTGTGGGGCTGACTGAAGTGGCAGGCCGGGGGGGCCTGGGAAGAGAAGGGACAAAGTCTGGCCTGTCCTTGGCATCTTGGGTTGAGCATATTCTCCTGCCCTTGGTGACCCTTGTGGGACAGTCTAGGAGAGTATGCCCCATGTGGCTGCAGTCACCAGTAGGCAAAAACATGTAGATAGGGTGACACCTCAAGGGCCAAGTGATTCTGTCCCATGAACTGTTAAGTCACTTGTAGGCGCAGGAACTGCTGACCCTTCTGCTATCATCCAGCAGTCTCCACTGTGGATATCAGGCCTTACAGGGTATCCAGAGAAAGGCACAGAAGGCTCAAGCCTTGGACACCAGTCTCTGTCCACACCAGATAGGGGCCAGGCACTTTGTACATGTCACTTGAGAGTAGGATTTAGAATGACTATATTCCCACAAGGTAAAGGAAGTCACAAAGCAGGTAGCAGTGGGGCTAGCACTTGAACTCCTCTATCTGCTCCTTGGCTCAGGAGCAATTTTCAGTGTCACAAGGGTGTTTGGTGATGAGCTGAGGCAGTGAAAACTAGAAAGAACTTGAGTTTACTCTGGTGATGTTGGAGATTGAAACCAGGGCTTGCTTTTTTTTTTTTTTTTTTTTTGAGACAGCATCTCATTATGTAGTTCAGGCTGGCCTGAACTTGCAGGAATCCTCCTGCCTCAGCCTCTCAACTCTCAAGTGCTGGGATTATAGGCTTGTGCCACCATGACTGGCTAAAACCAGGGCTTTCATGCATGCCCTCTAACTCTGAGCCACACACCTTATAATTTGAGTTCAGAAAAACAAAAAAATAAGATTGAAGATAAGCTTGTTCATAAACACTCCTGCTAGCCTCAGGTAGGCTTTCTGGAGAGGAAGGATAAAGGTACTGGAAGTGAGAGCTCCCTGAAACTCTAGATATGCCTACAGGTAGGTGGCCCGAGTGTCAGCAGAAGTCACAGAGTGGCAGGGGAGATGAATGCCAAGAACAACTGTGGGGCCCTCAGCAGCTCCACCCACCCACATTCCTCCATGCAGACGCACCCCAAGGAGGCTAGCACAGTGAGGTACTGGTTGATCTGCAGCATGGCGGCGTCCAGCAGCGTGTGGATGTTGCGCAGGCTCTGCAGCCGGGCCTCCAGGTGCTGTCGCTCATGGCCTTCCAGAGCCCGAAGCTCCTCTGGGGTCAGCCCAGCAAAGCCCGCAGGGGGCACAGGCATAGGGGGGAAGGCTGAGGGGTGGTGGTGGAGGCTTAGTCTGGGCTGCCTGAGCTGGCCACACGCCCCTAGCCATCCTCCAGAGTGGCCCAACTTACCAAAGGGTGGAGGCAGGGGCATGCCCATCCAGGGAGGAGGGAAGGGGAAGCCTGGGGCAGGGCCAGCCTCTGGGGCAGGGGCAGAGCCAGGCACTGGGCCAGAGGCACTGCTGCCGGCAGCTATAGTTGTGGCTGTTCCACTAGGCCGAGAAAGGGCCGCTGAAGAGCAGAACAAGAGGTCAGAGTGGCGCAGGGCCCACCGCAGCCCCCTGCCTCATTACCCAAAAGCTCACCTGCACTGGTGGACGGAGGGGCCGAGGCCTCTCCTGAGCTTGGAGGAGGTGGGACAGGAGGGAATGGGCCCATGGGGGGCCACAGGGGGAACATGCCTGGAGGAAAAGGAGGCAGGAGGCCCTGGGGGACTGGAGAGAGAACAGGGTGGTGAGTAGAGGGCTAAACTGAAACAGAGTCCACACCTAGCCAGGGGCTCGGCTGCTGGGCACTTGTCCTCTGCTCTCACAGCCCCTGAGCTTAGCACCAGTCCCAGCAATTTCTCATCTTTTCACCCCTCCTTGGCCCAGACCCAGCCGTGACTCGGATCCCCCACTATCTCCCACACCTAGCCCAGGGAGTACCCAACTGTGGTGGATGGCCAAGAGGAGGGACACTCACAGTTAGGGGGCTGAGGCAAGAGTGGTGGGGGATGAGGGGCAGGGGGTGGCCCCTGATCCGCAGGCTCAGGGGGTGGTGGTGACTGGGCTGGCAGTGATGCCCGCAGGACATCCATGCGGCAAGTAGGGCAGGTCTGCTGCCTCTGGAACCAGGAGCGCAAGCAGCTGGGGGACAAGACCAGGCAGTGGTCAGCACCTCTGCGGGGGGCTTGGGTCTGGATGTGCAGGCTCCCAGGGCCCCAGCTACCTGGTATGAAAGATGTGGTTGCAGGGCAGTCTCTTGGCACCAGTCACCATCTCTTCTCGGCAGATGATGCAGACATTGTCCATTGCCTGGAGTTCCTCAGGGGTGGCATCTGGATACCTGTTAGAGTGGCAGAGCACGTGTCCAGAGCAGAGCTGGAAACAAGGGGACCTAGGACAGAGTTTGGGACAGCAGCCACAACAAGGCCACTTACAGTGTGTTCATGTTGCGGATGGCTCGTCGTGACATGATGGCATCTGTCACAGCTTTCTTGAACTGCCTGAAAAGACAGTTAGTGAATGCAGGAAGAAGAGGGGAGGGATCAGGTCAGGAGAGGGAAAGGACAGGGCTGGGCTCACCTCATGGCCAGGTACATGGGCCGGATGGCAAAGAGCGGGAAAGTGTGAACCTTGATCATGATGGTCATAAAGGCCATGTAAAGCAGAACCTTGATGAAGCCTTGGGATAAGAGATGGCAGAGAGTATCTGGTTACAGGGTCTGGCAGGCAGAGTAGGGGAGACTGGTCCGGTCAGGAGAGTCCCAGGCTCCTCTCACCTGTGAACAGCTCCGTGTAGAGCATGTACACGGCCTTATTGTCCCAGGGATTCTCGTTCTGGAGGTCCACAGAGTGCAGCACATACTTGATGAAGATGGTAAGCACCATAGTCATCAGAATGGCGTACTAGGGGGAGAGGGCACCAGGAGATATGAACATCAGCTCCCCTTCCAGCCACACTGCTGTGCCCAGGCCAGCTCTGGCATCAGCCTCCAAGAAGCTTTCCCTAAGCCCCAGGTGGGGGCTGCTCCACCCCAGGCTCTTTGAGACCTCTAGCAATCCCCTCCAAGTGTGTGAAGGGGTCAGGTCTGACTAACTGCTGCTCCCTGGTGGCTAGTTTAGGGGTGGCCACACCGCAGGTGCTAGTAAGGGTTTGCTGGTTATTCAAGGCACATGCAGTGCCACCTCAGGCTTGTCCTCTCAACCTCCCAAGCCAGTTTTACCTCAAAGCCAAACACCAGCTGCACAGAGGCCCCACGGGTCAGGATGCTGTGATAGGCGTGGCTGACGAAGAGGAAGTCCAGGATACCCAGGAGGAACATGAGGGCTGTGGGGACCCCCGAATAGGGGGAGGATGGGGTTAGCCCACAGACTGACAGTGACTTTCTGCTTGAAAACAGCCCCTCCTCAAGCCCACGATGACCATGGCCCCAGCCATCTACTCCAGTGGGCACACTCCACTGACTTGGCCCTCTGGGAACCCTAGTTTGGGGTGGGGGTGGGGTGGCCCAGGCTCCAGGTGAGGAGCCAGAAAACTGAGGGCCTAGACAGTTGAGAAGCTCTGGAGTGGAACAGGGCAGAGACAATGCAAATTAACTTCCTAAATTATGTTTCCTGTACAGCTGTGGGCTCAGGGGCAGCTTGTGCTCTCGGGTATGGGTCCATGGTTAGTGACTTTTCACGTTCCACTCCTTCATGGCGCCTCTCCTCCCTCCAGCAACTCCCCTACCCGCCCTGGGTCTCACTCACAGACAATGCGGCAGTGAAAGAGCCAGGAGATATTAGGGCTTCGTTCCATCTGAGGCAGAGTAGAGAGGGGCCCCATCAGGAAAGCTGGGTCACCCCACATCCCCAACCCAGCCCTCACTGCTCCACAAGCCTGCCCACCAGCCACTCCCGACTCACAAAGTCCACACGGTCCTCAGCCAGCCAGTGGAAACACTTGAGGAAGAGGAGGAGAGTGAAGAGCGCAACAAAGCGGGGACTGAAGTCATCCCGAAAAACGGTGAAGGCCAGACACGTCTCAGTGACGGCATACCAGGAACGCTCCAGAAGGTGCTGGAGGTTGAGCAAGGCAGGATGTAGAACCAAGACATTCTGCTTGCCCAGTGCCCTGTCCCTCACCTTGGGGATCACCAGAATCTTACCTCCATCTCCGCTGCCCTCAGCTGCCCAAAGAACACCTTGCCCATCACCTTGCCCAAGAGGAAGACAAGGACGAAGGCCTGGATGTACAGGACCTAGCAGTGAGGAAAAGCTCTAGTTTGAGGTCACCTTCTTCTTTGTTCTGCCTGGCCCTTATCATTCAGGAACCTCCCCAAGTCCTCATCACAATTTATTCAAAGTTGGGCAGCTAGTAGCTACTTCTCACCCACTTACCTGACTTGTAGCCCCACCCCTGTCCCAAGGAGCTCCCTCCCTGAGCCCTGAACTCACTGCCATGCTAGGGCTGGACTTGGTCAGGTACACCACCGTGGGGTAGAACTGGTGTTTGAGGTAGTAGGCGTGTGCCACCACAGCCCCAGTCAATGCCAGGCTGGCCGCCATCATCACTGCGGTGCGGAACATTGCCCTGGCCTGGAGACCTAGGTGGGGAGGGGAAGAAGACATCATATGGGATGCTTATCCTGTGCAAAGCTAGCACGGTGCCTGGCACAGTATCAGTGCGAGAGAAGAGAAAGAAGCTCAGTTCACAATCATCAGATCAAGAATAGCATATGTTTCCCCCTTTCACAAGTAAGAAACAGCCCCAAAGAGGTTAAGGGGTCAAACTGATGCAAGGCCTGGAACAGTTCTGTTTCGAATCTAGGGCTCTTTCCACACTGCCTGCCAAGTGGTCTCCTCTAAGGAGACCATGAAGGAAAGCAGCAGTGCTGGAGGAGATGGGGAGTGACTGCCACTGCTGACTCCAGAGTGAAGGTGCTAGGGTGGGAAGCAAAACAAAATCAGCTCCAGAGCGGGAACGAACGGCCAGGGCTGACAGCAGCCAAAGGGCGGAGGGGCGCAGCGCTGGGTGACAGCTGTGCCAGGACTGTCAGCGTGGACGCGCGCTCGGCGGGCAGGCGCAGAACGTCAGCTTGGAACCCCCGCGCCCCCACACCACGGGAAGTGTCAACTTGGGGCTCCGGAGAAACGGCCGGCCAGCAGGGCGCAGTCGCGGCGGGGTGGAAAGGCACCCAGGTCGCCCTCGCGGCCGCGCACCTGTGAGCGCCAGGAGCTGGGATCGTCGCAGGTGGGGCCCAGCTTCTGGGAGAGTGGCCGGGCCGGAGCCTGAGATCTACCGCCAGCTGACAGGCCGAAAGCAGGCGGCAGGACCGAAGGGGCGCGCAGATCCCGGTGACCGCAAGGGGAAGGTCCCAGGCAGGACCCCGACCTCAACCCTAGCCTGGCCTGCTCTCACTCACCAGGAGCCCAGCACCGCAAACCCACTCAATCCCCGAGACTGCCGCAGCCGCTCTGGTTAACAACACTCCCCACCCCCTGCAAACCGGAAGTTCGAGGCTAAGACACCTCACTTCCGGCGGCGCGGGGCGCGGCGTGGACTGTACCAAATGAGTCCTGTCTTCTTTCGTGCCCCTTGCCCTATCTCGTGCCACCAACAGTAGTTTTACTGCGGGCTTTGGATTCTTGTCCTCGGAGAAGGACAGAGCAAGAGATACAAATGGAGGTCGGAACGAAATAGGGTGACAGACGAGGGTTGGAAACCTCTACTTATTAGTACAGATGGTATGGTCTCTACCCCTGCCTGGACTCTACCCAACCCGGACTCCGGCTCTCAAAGCCGCTGGAAGGTGGAACGTTCTGTGGGCCGTGCCATTTGGAGGGGGTACTGTGCAAAGGACAGGCTTTACGGTAGGACAGAGGAATATAAAATGGCCTAATGCATCTTTTCAGGAACATTCACAACAATGTGACACATAAGGGGCCCTCTGGGAAAACCAGAGGCAGAAAACAGAAATTTGTCTCCCCCATCACTAGTCCCTAAGTAATGTGGGAGCGAATTGAATCCCGTGGCTGCCACTGATTGGTTGTGATAAAATTACGCGGACCAATTAAAGAAAGAAAGGAAATTTAGTGGCCTATAGAAAGAGGAAAGCAGGTGAGTGGTAGCTAGAGGCGGCGGGCAGCGTTGCCTAGAACTTGTACTGCTCTAGCTGGCTGAGTAAGGAAAGCACAGTTCTTGGGCAGGTGATCTCTAACCAGCCTGGGGGAATGTTTGCCGTGCTAATAAAGGAAGGAGGAGTCAGGTGTGCCAGTGGCTGCGGGGAAAGAATAGCTTTTGATTCCTGCCAGTCTCGCGTTTTGTGCAGAGACTGATTCAACGCCGCATACCCGCACCCCTCTCTCTGTTCTACGGTTTTGCTGGTCTTGCCCTGTTCTGTCCTGCACCGCAGCCACGGCCCCACTGGTCCTAGGCTTCCTGTGTTGCAGCCTTCTCATTAACAGAGTGGAGCTAATTCACTTCCGTTTGTGCCTTGCGATTTCCTTCCTCGTCTTATTTAACCATCAACATCAAAATTTATCAGCTAGGTGGTGCTATCCCATTTTAAACGTGGGAGAACTGGTTCAGAGGCTAATCAAGACCTGCTCAACCCCCATTCTGTTGGTCTCAGCCATCATTCTCTCCACTTATTGACCTTACAGGTTCGGGTTATAACCAGTTACTGAGTTGGCTCTGCTATAAGGCTATCTCAACTAAGCTGCCCAGGCAGGGCTCAAATTTGAGACCCTCTTGCCTCAGCCTTCCAGAATGCTGGGATTACACGCGTGTGCCACCATTTTAGTGTACACTTTACGATGATGACTATCAGCCGGCTGTGGTGGTGCACAACTGTAACGAGGCTGAGGTAGGAGGACTGAAAATCTGGTGGTGGCCTGGACAATTCAGCAAGAACCTGACTAAATAAAGGGAAAAATAATAATTATAAGTATTATATAATAATAACAAAATGATAATAATTTTTAAAAAGGGTTGGGGATGTAGCTTCGTGGTGGAGTGCTTGCCTAGCATATGTGAGCCTGGTTCCATCAGTATCAAAAGTAACTACTGGTAGCCTGAACCTGAGTCCTGGACAGCATGAGCTTTGCCACTGGCTTGGTCAGACTGCCCAGCAATCCAATCGAGCTGGCCAGAAGCATGCCTGGTGTCTGTGCAGGCACCAGGGTCCGGGACTCCTGGATCTCCATATCCCACTCCACCAGCTTCCACGGTGGCTGTGGTCTGGGAGTTGCCATGAATGGGTGACATTCAAAGTGAGAAGGAGACCATGCAAGACCTGAGCAACCACCTGGCCTCCCTCGTGGACAGAATGAGGAGCCTGGAGACTGCTAACTAGAGACCAAAGGGCAGAATCTGGGAACATCTGGAGAAGGGGCCCCACAGCAAAGACTGTTGAGGAGATGAGGGCTCAGATCTTTACAAATTCTGTGGACAGATGCCTGCATCACTCTACAGCCTGACAATACTTGTCTTGCTGTTGACAACTTTATAGTCAAGTATGAGATGGAGTTGGCCATGCACCATCTATGGAGAATGAGGAGGTCTGCAAGGTGACACCAATATCATTTGACTGCAGCTAGAAATAGAAAGTGAGGCATTTAAGGAGGAGCTGCTCCTTAACAAAGAACCACAAGGAGGAAGTCAGAGGCCTCCCAGCCCAGATGGCCAGCTATGGTTGACCGTGGCAATTGATGCCCACATGTCAGGACCTCAGCAAGGTCATGGTGGACATCTGTGACCACTATGACGAGCTGGCTCAGAAGAACCTAAGGGAGCTGGACAAGTGCTGGCCTCAGAAGATTGAGGAGAGCAGCATGGCTGTCAGCTCAAAGTCTTCTGAAGTTGGAGCTGCAAAGAAGATGGGCATAAGGGCCAGAGATTTAGCTCAGTGGTTCCGTCGCCTGCCTTGAAAGCACGAGGTCCAGAGTTTGATCCCCGGTACCAAAAAGAAAAACCACAGAAAGAAGATGGGCACAGAGCTGAGATGATGGTCCAGCCCCTGGAGGCTGAGCTGGGTTCCATGAGAAATCTGAAAGTCAGCTTGGAGAACAGCCTGAGGGAAGTGGCAACCTATTATGACATCCAGATGGGACAGCTCCACCAGGTGCGCTGCATCTGAAATTGGAGCTGGCAGACCAGGATGGAGAGAAGATAGTCAGGCACTTGAGTAGGAGACCCTGCTGAACAGCAAGGTCAAGCTGGAGATTGCCATCTACCATCGCCTGCTGAAAGATTGGGGGGGGACGGACTTCAGTCTGGATGATGCCCTAAACAAAACAAGGAGAGGACGTTGCGAGCGAGCTCGCTCCAGGTGAGTCTCCGAGTCTCCCTCTAGAACTCCGTGAAAGAAAATGGTGTCCTTTGACATCAAGCGGGTCCACTCAGTAGCATGCACCCATTTTGAGCTGCAGCTGCCCCTAGGCCCGATGGAGGGGAGCAGAGGTTGAGCCAGCATCCAGCAGTGAATCGGGGCCCTCACCATGAGTTCCTTGCCTATTAATGTAAGAGGGATGAAGGTGTCAGAGCTGAAAAAGGAGCTCAAAGGCCGAGCTCATGGATAGGCTCCAGGTCGTGCTGGACAATGAGGAGTCCGGGGGCCGGTGGCCATGGAGCTGGGGAATGGCACCCTCGACCTGGGCCGGGATTCCACCAGGTGCTCAGGCGCAAGGCTCGAAAAAAAGGCAGGGTGAAATAAAGTGATTTGACAACATTGAATAAACATTGAGTAAAACTTTTCCAGTTTTGTCATTTTCCAGTTTTGTCATTTGTGATCGCCTGTCTTCATAGTATCATTTTCCATCTCTGTCATATCACACAGCTTGTCCCTGAGTGGATGGATTCCTCTCTCTTTCCTGAACATGCTTGATCTTTGCACAAGGCTTTGCTTGTCACATGCTCTGTGGTCCACCTGGAGCACACTTTCCTCATCCTGAGATCCAGCTCTGGTTATCGCTGAAAGGCCCAGTTAAAATTGTCCCATCCTCTAGGGCCTAAATTAGTACTCTACCACTTTCCTTAAAAACTCAGGAACTTGCTTATGTCTATGTAATTTCAAATATTAGTCCTGAAATGCGATTAGGGCATTAATCTTGATCTTCAAATTTTTAAATTACTTTTCTCTTGCATCTGAAATAACATAGCCTTGGTTCTCATAGATCAAACGTGCACTTACATGCATATAGTGTTATCATTTAAGTCAGACAGATCTGTAGCTACACTAGCAGAAATTTATGTTAGCTGGAGACACAAGAGGCTCTGGAGACAGAAAAACTGGGCTCCTCCTGCATCTCAAGACTGACAATTTTCCCCTGGCCAAGCTGTCAAATGTATGGTAATTCAGAATCCAATACTTAATACAACTCAAGGTATATGTCCAATTACAAAATCCTTAATAAACAATTTTAAGTAGTTAAAAAGTATGAATACAAGAAATAGAATGTGCTAACATTAGAATTTTATTCAAAGCCGAATGTGTGCACGCACTTCAATTTAACAATGACACTCTCAGAGACACCTCCCAGGTGTAGAGAAGAGACACACACAGAATTATTTACTGCAGCACTGTTTG